CAGCCTCGGGGTGAGCAGGGCGGGGACCGCAGCGCTGGGTGGGGGGGATCGGGGGTTCCTCCAGCCCTGGACACCCAAAGGGATGCTCTGTGTGTCCTCCAGCACCCGCCTGACCTTCCCCTCGACCCTCCTGCCCCGTGGTCACGGCTTTTCCTTTAAATCTTTAATTACCCATCCCCATTGCTCCATTCTCCGCCCTTCATCCGATGGCCAAGTCCACTCACTCACCTCTTTTCTTCCCTTCTGGCTTTCCTGGAATCCCAGAGCCACGTGCTGTCACCATTGGAGCACTGGCCATTGAGGTTTCCTCGGCAAACATCGATTTTTTTTTTAGAGGAGGTTTCCCGTGATTTTTTTTTTTTATTTTTATTTATTTTTTGGGGGGTTTTGTTTCAGTTAAAGCATCATCCACCCTTTGGAGCAAAGGTCCCTTCCAGGAAGTTTGGAGGAAAGGGCAGGGAGTTGTGCTCTGCTGGAGGGAGGTGCCAGCTCTGTGGTGCCATTTCAGGCGGTCACTGGGCGCTGGGAATGCTCTGAAAGCTGCGGAGGCTTCACTAAAACTGGGTTTGGGCAGCTTTGGATCAGAACCGAGAGGAATTATGGAGACAGGGACCAATGGATGCATGGAATGGTTACATAAGTAGGAGCCTTCAGCCGGGAAAAGGGGGATTATGGGCAGCACAGAGGAGGGAAAGGCTCGTTCTCTGCTCCTCCTGATGCTGGAACAGGCACTGGAAGGGAGGAGGTAAAACCCTCTTTGCTCATGAGGCTCTTTTGCCACATCCTGGGAGCCAAATTTAAGGGCTGAGGGAATATTTGAGAGTTGAGAGAATATTTAAGGATTGGGAGAATATTTAAGGGTTGGGAGAATATTTAAGGGTTGAGAGAATATTTAAGGACTGAGAGAATATTTAAGGGTTGAGAAAATATTTAAGGGTTGGGAGAATATTTAAAACTTGAGAGAATATATAAGAGTTGAGAATATATAAGGGTTGAGAGAATATTTAAGGGCTAAGAGAATATTTAAGGGTTGAGAGAATAGTTAAGGGTTGAGAGAATAGTTAAGGGTTGAGAGAATAGTTAAGGGTTGAGAGAATAGTTAAGAATTAAGAATAACAATAAGAACAAGAATAAGAAAGGAGTTTCAGCATTCTTCTTGAATATCCACCAAAGCTTTCAGC